ATAAAAAGAGGTTAGAAGATGAAAAGATGCACAGAATATAATAAAAACAAAATTTTATCGTCAAAAACCTTTGTGTTCTTAAGATGAAAGATCAAATTTTTTTATGCAAAAATTAATTTTTTTTTTATCGTTTTTAGAAACCTGGAAATTCAGGTTTTAAAATTCGTGTTTCTTTTTGTTTCCTTTTTTTTCTTTTTTTTTTTTTTTAACACTCGGGACCTTAAATTGGTACGGGAAATGGAGCGTCTTTTACGGTAAAAAAAAAAACAACAAAAAAACATAGATTTGGAAAATTCATGCAAAAATCAAATAATTGTTGGATTTTAATGAAATTTTCAGAACTTATTCACAAATGAATTAAAATTATTTAGAAATGCTTTTCCTTTTTTTTATAAAATCATGGTAAAAATATTTCTTTACATCTGTTACCTCTCATTTAATTTTATGAAATTTGGAGAAACGGAGAAACTGTTTTTGCATCACTTAATGTTTATATTAATTATAAGGACAAGTCCTCGGAGAATTTAAATCGCCGACTTTTTGATTAAACAAAACTCCTAATTACAGAAAACTGCTCTCTATCGTAAAATAAAAAGAAATCAATAAATCTAAGACATTTTTTTTACATTAGAAGAGCTTTGAATTGTTATTATGACTAAAATATATAATGGACACTATTGTCTTAAGAAAACATTTTTCGATAAATAATTAATTATTTTCGTTATTAAAAAGAAAAATTATTTATTTCTTAACCAGATCGTCAAAAAATGATCCTATAATTATTGATATTTTACAAATAAAATGCAATTACAAACGTACGATTCATGTATTTGGGGGTGGGGGTGAGAACAAAGTGATAAGTAAATGAATGGCGTTTTATTTTATAAATTTAAAATCATTGTAGGAGTCCACTACACAGATGGGTAAATTACCCATTGCTATGTAGTGGACTCTACTAATAATGTAGCAAAGATAGAGATATGAAAAAACTGATTTTTATTTTATTTTTTATTTTTGTTTTATTTTATTTATTTTTATTTTATTTATTTTTATTTTATTTTATTTTATTTTTTGTATACTAAATATTTCAGAATACAAAAATCGAGAACTACCTAAAAGTTAGTCAACAAAATTGAGATAACTTTCATTAACTCTACCTTATCTCTCTCTCATATATATATATATATATATATATATATATATATATATATATATATATATATATGAGAGAGAGAGATCCTATAACTTTATGACTTTGTGACTTTAGACGAATCAATGATAGCAAATCAGGGAGAATTTTTTAAGAAGGATGTCTTTATATCTACTTTACTTACGGCCAAATCACGTTGAAACATCGGTTCCAGTACGATCACTGAAGTTAAGTAACATCGAATCTGTTCAGCACTTAGATGGGTGACCACTTGGGAAAACCGGGTGCTGTAAGCTTCGATGACGTCTTGGAATTGTTTCGAGTTTCAATTCTATTTGGGTTCGTTATATTCACTTACGCTCAAATACCCTTGGGGAAAGTTAAAACTTCAACTCTTCTCCCCCAGCTATGGGTTAATTAGTAAGAGTTTTATCCCTAAACGATTATTATCTCTTCAAAAATTCTTAGAATCTAAAAATATTTTCTGGCTTTAAATAACCTGCAAAGGGTTGATAAGCTATAAAAAATAATTCAATCAATGAAAATCTTTTCTTTTAAGTTTTTTGAACTTTTAATTAAAAACACATTTCAGATGTGCTGAAAATTACTCCACCTTCCAAGTGACCTTTGCAAAAAGATATTGGATGTGTGATCAGTTAGTCAAATTTGGGAATATAGGTTTTGCCGAAAATTTTTCGGCACCACTCTCTCTCACTCACACGCACGCACGCACGCATGCACACACACACACACACACCCATATTCCGAAATATGACAGATTGAACACACCCGTTGGTTGGTTTGACCTTTGACTGGAGTTCATCTGGGTGCCCTCTCCAACGTAGTAATTAAAGAAGATTTTTGAATTATTTGGCGGCGCCCATCTCCTTACCTAATATAATAGAAGAGATTGTATAATCATATGTCGTCACTATTTTTCTTTCAGTCATTTATTTCCCTACCTCTCCTTTCGTCTCTTTTTCCTTATCTTAAAGTAAACTTTCTTTTCCATTTTTCTCTCTTTCTTTGTCTTTGCCTTCTCTTTCCCACTCTTTTCTTATTCTTTTCTTTTCTCTTTCACTCTCAAACACTTTCTCCACCCCCCCTTCTCTTCTTTCTTTCTCGCTTTTTCTGACTCTCTCCTTTCGATGGACCAAAGCTACCATCGCCTACGCTTACCGCACTTCGACGCACAAGATACGAACCAGATATTTGTTTCGCGCCATTACTTGTCACGTGATGCGACAATTCATGTCGACAAAAAAGGCTATACACTTCCGCTTCAATGGCCGACGTCTGCGGCTGCCAGTTTTTGCAGACAAAGTTATTTCTCTTGTACCCCAAAAATGAAATCAAACCCCTTAAAATTCTTTTCAATTTATTGTTGGTCGAGTTAGAATCTTGTTAGAAAGATTTATAGGCTGTTTCTTTTTCTTTCTTATTTTTCTTTGTTTTTTTCTTTCTTTTTTCTGCACACTTTGCTTCTTCAGCCCAACATTCGATTGAAATCAGCAAAACCAGTTTTGCAGAAAATGTCTTGTTTCAAAATAACATTAAATAATGCGAATGTCAGTGTGTCACTGTGTCACACTTTTTCAATTAAAAGGACAGAACTCGCTAACTTTCGATGGCTCATCTTCTTCAATATAATAAATGCAAAAATCCGTGTGAAAGGGACACAACTTTCAATAGCTCAAGTTTTCATTGCTTCGACTGTTTTTGACGTTTTTTTTTTTGTTTTACGACGAATCTTTTTGAACGATAACAATTTTTATAACTTGGAAATAAATTTGGGAATAATCGAAATTAATTACAAAATTCAGCCATGAAATAAAAATAATTCCTTGTACGGAAAGTAAGGACCTACGTACATCAAATTGTCTGCGTACATCAGATTGAAGAATTATCATTGAACTTTTAAAAGTCAGCTTAAATATTAATACAATATTTAAATGCAGCGATCAATTTTCTGTAGTTTATTATTGCCTATCGCATCTACTCCTCCCTACCTGTTATGACGAAGCCCCCAAACAAGAGCACCCCCGCAGGAGCTAGTTTAAATGCCAGCTTATAGTATTAAATAAATAATAATTTTGCACCTAGCGATAAATTTTATTCGTCACAAAAATCGCTTTAAATTCAATAGATAATGCGGACATAGAAATCAACACTGCATGAGGACAGTCAGTTTCACGCCTTAAGCTCTCTTCAGATGATGTTCATATACCTTCTGCCTATATGTACAAACATTCTATCTCTAATATTGACAAGTCTTCCTCTATAAATAGAACAAATTTTAAACATATATTTACACATTGGCTAAAGAGCAACATATGTCGTTAGTTAAGTTTTACATATCTATTCATATAATCAAACGAAAAAAAAAACTAACTACTCAGTTACTACAAAATACTAATTCTATGAATTCGCTTACCCATTAAGAGTATATCACTCTAGTAATAATTCATACGATTAGGCATTGGTTATACAACCACCACATTACCATAACGATTACCTTGTTATTTATCTTATAAAAGTTAATTCTAATCGCTAACATCACCTAGCAAAAGTACAAAAGAATCCGAGAAATCTTTACCAAAAACACTATATATATATATATATATATATATATATATATATATATATATATATATATATATATATATACAAATATTGGTAGAATTAATCACAAAACAAGCAACTCAGCATCAGTAAAATGTTTTCAAAATTCGGAACAAACTGAATATTTCATAAATATAAAAAAAACCGACACGGCACCTGGAAATGACACGTGAAGACACAGTGCTTTAAAAAAAAAAGATACATGACGCATGAAGACGCGATATTTGAAAAACGCTGAAACAGACATGGCACAAAAAAATTCTGAGAATGTGTCATAAAAGCCGAAACTACTCAGACATTAGAAATTTAAATTTAAACTTTCACTGAAAAGCGGGAAAATGATCAGAAATTAATAAATTTAAAAAAATCCTGAACAAAGAACGCTCTTTGTTTTTTAGCCAAAGTTGTATAAATGCAAACCAAATACACACACAATCTCTATTTCTTATATATATATATATATTGATGCATGTTTCATTAAATAATACAGACAAGTTGTGTCTATTTTAAGTAAGTTCCTTTCATATGGTCTGATAAGCTTAATAACATTATGATTGAAAGGCGAAATGAAATCACCATATTGATACCTGTTTAAATCCGATTTAAGCTTTCGGCTTACATAAGCCATTATCAAAGATGGCAATTACTTTTCAATATATCAAACAATACACTGACGAAACAAGCGAGAGTGAAAACGAGAAGTATTAAGTATGGGAAGCTGCTGGTATAAACCAATGGTTTCAGTTATCAATTATGGACATTTACGAATATTTGTGGAAATTTCGTAGTTTATTTTGTTCAGATTAAGTTTCAACTGTTTTATGTATATAGCTTCAAGAATTTTTAGTTTTTGTTTATTGTTTTCATGTTTAAGTATAGTTGTGTTTTCTACGAAGATTTTCCGGAATTGTGTAAGCGGCCAGGCATGTTGTTTTAAATGCCTAAAAATGTTAGAGTTATTATTCAAATGTAGTGTCAAGCGTCGTGAAAGCGAGTTTGTGGTGTGACCAACATAAATATTATTTAATCTATTGGAGATACAATCTCCCAAAGGCCAGTTGAATTTGTAAACTATATTGTTTTTTTGCAAATCACTAACGGGAAGGGGAGAAGAATCATTACGAATAATTGAGTTGGATATACTAGATTTAGTGTAGTATATGATTACCCTAATTTTTTTGTTAGGATCTGTTGTGGATATATAAGTATTTACTAAATTTTTTTTTTTAGTATATTTTCATCTTGTTTATAATTAGTATGCATTTGAGTGCGATATAGGAGATTAATATGTTTGGGATTAGTTGAAGCAGTATTATGTTCTATTTGCTTAGTATTAAAACTTCTTGACATCTTTGATAATGGTTTAAGTAAGCCGAAAGCTTAGATCGGATTTAAACATCTATCAATATGGTGATTTCCTTTCGACTTTCAAAATGTTATTAAGCTTACCAGACAAAATGGAAGGAACTTACTTAAAATAAATAGACACAACTTGTCTATATTATTTAATGAAACATGCATCAATGAAAATTGCTACCTAAATATACACAATATATATATATATATATATATATATATATATATATATATATAATAAAAAAAAGGCTTAAACACTAATATTCCATGGTCATAATTTATTCCATTGGAATCGTAAATACGATCCAATTCATCAAACCTACAAATTCAAACAGAAAAAACAACTCCGGGAATAAAAAATAAAATTTAGTGAGAGTGTATGTATGAGAGTGTGGGATTAATGTTAGAGTAAATGAAAGCTATAGTGAGGGGTAACAGACGAAAGAAGAACAGGGAAGAACAGAAAGGTCTAAAGATGAAGGGGGGGGATTAAAATTTAACAGAAGTTTTAAAGGAAGTGCGAGAGAAGAAACAGTTAGCATAGAATTTACGGCTACATCTAGCCAACTCAAGTGTAAATTGATGAGATCTAAACGCCAATCTAGTACTGCACTCAAATTCATGAAGTCTAGGTACCATAGTGAAGGGCTCATTTGAACATTTACCATGAAAGTATTTATAGAAAAGACATAGGCAACCTTATTGATGAGATCTAGACACCAGTCTATTACTGCGCCAGATCAGGACGAATAATATTGCAGATTCTTCTTTGGACCTTATCTTTGGAGCTCAAGCAAAATAGCAGGTGCACCTAACCATATGTGGCAGCAATATTCAAAGTATGAACGAATGATAGACATATAGATATGTAAGATAGATTCAGGAGAGAAAAATTGTCACGAACGACACAGTGAACCAACTTTCTTAGTAGATGTCCTAGCAATAGATTCAATATAGTCTTTCCAGTTCGTGTCAGCTGAGAACGTTAACCCGAGAAGGCGCAACGAGTCATTTTCTTAGAGGTTAGCATCAGCCATATCAATGGAATGCAACAAGGAGTCTTTGGCGATCATGTCTCTTTCGATATATGATTAAATAGGCAGTAGCTTGCCGTTTATTTCTGCGGTAGACTGGTTGTTGACTAATACTATAAGACATATTGAACCCATAGTAGTGGGTGAGAGGTGTTGGATTCATAATCTTGCCCAGGGTATTTGCGAATTAGTCAATGTAACAAACCCGATTGGAATTTGAACTCTGCATTCCGAGCCAATATTCATTACACCACAACATACACACGTCCAAAAACGGCTTACGTGGAAATATTATCTTCCACAAATAAACCTGGTTAATCGTTTTTTGTTTTATTTTTTATTTCTTTGTTTTGTTTTGTTTTGTTTTTTTGTTTTTTTTTTCTTTGTTTTCGTTTTTCTTGTGAAATAAAACCCGGTTTGCATGATTTAAGATATCAGTATTGTATTTCAATGATCAATTTACAAACAATACGAGCGTCCATTTTCTCTATTTCTTTCTACGAATATTGTGTTTCTCCCTCTTTCACTTTAACTCACACGCTCTCTCTTTCTCTCTCGCCAACTCTTTCCCTTTCTCTCCTGAAATATATCTATTTGGTCAGAATGAAAAACTAAACTCTAAAAAATAATTTAACTAATCAGAAATTTTGCATAGATATGAATTATATAATATATCATATAATATATATATATATATATATATATATATAATATATATATATATAATATATATATATATATATATATATATATATATATATATATATATATATATATATATATATATATATATATATATATATATATATATATATATATATATATATATATATATATATATATATATATATATATATATATATATATATATATATATATATATATATATATATATATATATATATATATATATATATATATATATATATATATATATATATAATATATATATATATATATATATATATAATATATATATATAATTATATATATATATAATATATATATTATATATAATTCCCAAAAAGAATTAATACGAAATAATTCCATTAACCAAAAAGAAAGTACAATACAGAGTAGAAAATGTAATTATTTATTCGAAAAGTATAACATAAAATGTTCTAAAATCACTACAAAAATAACCATTTTCTTTCAACATTTCTGGTGTCTTATCAAGTGATGATGTTTGTAGAGCATATATATTCTAATTACGGTGGAGTAATGGATAGCGACTCGGATTGAGGAATTGGAGTGCCGATTTCGAATTCAATTTACCCTTGGGAACGGTATGAATGCTCTTCTCTCCCTCCAGTTATGGGTAAATAGCAGGGTAGACTG